TTTCAGCAATTTACTGTATTAGTCCGTTTTCATGCTGCTGATAAAGACATACCTGAGACTGGACAATTTACATAAGAAAGAGGTTTAATTGGACTTACAGTTCCACGTGGCTGGGATTACAAGTGTGAGCCACTGTGCCCAGGCTATAAAGTTAATTTCTTAAAAAGACCTTGGGGCCAGGCGCGGTGGCCCATGCCTATAATCCCAGCACTTTTGGAGGCCATGGCTGGGCAGATCACCTGAGGTCAGGAGTTCGAGACCAGCCTGGCCAATATGGTGAAACCCCATCTCTTCTAAAAATACTAAAATTAGCTGGGTGTGGTAGCAGGTGCCTGTAATCCCAGTTACTCAGGAGGCTGAGGCAGGAGAACTGTTTGAACCCGGGAGGTGGAGGTTGCATGAGCTGAGACTGTATCATTTCACTCCAACCTGGGCAACAAGAGCAAAACTCCATCTCAAAAAAACAAAACAAAAACAAAAAACAAAAAAGACCTTGGGCAAATAACTCTTAGGGCAAACTTGGTAACAAACATTTTGGGGAGAGAGATCAGACTGGACAGTGAGGAAAACAGGATCTTGACATGTGGAAGTGGTAGGACTTCACCACTTGATGTCACTCTAATGCTTATGTCTGTGGAAGGTTCCAGCAAGACAAGTCTCTTCTTTGCTAAAAGATTGGCATTTTTAACTTTGAAACCTCAGGATAATGACTATGAAATTATATCAAATTTGTTGTGCATGATTTGAAAGCAATTTTTATATGTAAATTTTTCTTCTTGGAAAAGAGATTGATAATTTTCAGAAAGGTAAGTGACAAGGGCAAAAAGGCATTGTGGAATCTCAAAACTTTGATTTAGCACAAGACTTTGGTTTATCAGATAGGTGACCTTGCACAAGACTCCTAACCTCTCCAGCCCTCAGTGTCCTCACCTGTAAAATGGGGGGAAATACTGTAATGTCCATCTCACAGACTGGGAATAAATGAGTTCATTTGGCATGTACTAAGCACCAACTCTGTGCCATACTCTGCACCAGACTCTGAGAAAACTAAAATGAGGGAAACACAGTTCCTGCCCTCAAGAAGCTCTGAGTCTAACCTTAGGGACAAATATCTAAGAAGTGAATATATAAGATAATGGTCAACAGACACTCTTTGGTCTCTGCCCTTCAGTGTAGTATGTTATCTGATATCCTCTGGTACCTTGATAAAAACTCTTCTTATGTAGTTTTTTCATAAGGAAAAAATGAATTGTTGATCTTAATATTTCAATTAAAAGAGGCCTCCCTAACCCCAGTCTCTTCTCCATGCAAACCTGCTCCAGAGGAATGCTGTTGTTGAGAAGGAAATTGACAGCTAGAATGCTCTCCATTGCAGGTAACAGACACACAACCCTAAAGGACATGAATGATGAAGTTGAATGCATGGCTCACAGAACTGAAATACCTGGGAGTGGGTTCAAACTCTAGGCATGGTTTGATTCAGAGGTTCACTTTGTCCCCAGGGCACCAGCTTTGTTTCTCTGAGCTCCACAATCCTTGGTGGGTCAGTTCCAAGCTGGCTTCTTTCCTAGTAACAAATGCCACAGCAGTGCTAGGACACACCCTTCAACTTCACATCAAGCTTCCAAGTAAAAAGCATAGGATTCACTCTCCAGGACTCACTCTACTGAGATCGCATGTTCACCCAGAACCAATCATTATGACCTAAGAGATGGATGTTCTGATTGGCTGAGCCTAAATCACATGTTCTGCCCTGGTGCTGGAAAGGAAGTCAGTCCTGGGTCACATCCGATGCCCATGCAGAAACCAGGAGTTATGGAAAGGGATAAGAGGAAAGTTGGAGGCATCAAATATTCCACCTCGGGAATATGAGCTAGTTCCAAGTGTGATTTCTGGTCTGGAGAAGGGACAAGCGGGTGGAGGTGGGGCTCCTGGTGTGTTCTTCATAAGCTTCCCTCCTCCTTTTCCTATACCAGCACCATCTTTAGAGAGAGAATTCAACTTGTTTCTTCCTAAGAAACATACCTGTAGAGGTGACCAGTGTGCTCACCCCTCTCTGTGAACATGGAAAGCCTCAATTCTTCAGATAGAGACCACGGGCACCACCCCTCCTCAGCCCATTCCCACTCTCCCACACTACACTCCTATGTCTTTGCTGCCTGGAATTTCCAAGTTGCAAATTCCTGCCCATTCTGCAGGACAGGAAATTCCTACCCTTGTTTCTTTCCTTGGTTCCCACCTCCACTCTCTTTCTTCCAGAATCAGGTAGAAATGTCTAGTCCCTGTAGTTCCCCTACCATCCTCTTCATTTGCACTGAGCTTGTGCATTTATATTCTCTACTATGACTCCATGGACTCTGAGAAGGGAGGGGAGATAAACACACCGGGTCAGGGGGTCATCTTAAGCTAGAAGTCACTGACCCGTGTTTTTCCACCAAAAATAAATCTCCTGCTGAATCCGCTGGTTAGCTTAAATAGGTTCATGTCAGGGATCTAGCAATTTACTTACTGTTTTTACAACCCCTGCCACATGAGGGATGCTTTCAAGGAGATGACCAGGTAGTGAAGGGACTGAAGCTGTGACTAGAGGCAGGAGAAGGTGCTGAGGATGTGTGGGAGTGGGGTTCACATGTAGCACTTACTGCTTGTGTGATTTGGGGTACATCACTTTCCCTCTATAAGCCTCAGCTTCCCTCTCTGTATTTCATCAGGCTTTTTATGATCACTTGGGTTGCAAGCAACAGAAACTAATGCTAAGGAAGAAGTTGTGTTGAAGCCACAAATATATATGAAGACATCAGTGTGGCAGGGACGTTGGCAACCTGGAAAACGCAGCCCCACAGAAAAAAATTCACATTTAAGAAAACACTTGTACACTGTGACGGCCAAACAAAACGTCTATCGGCCACCTTCAGCCTCCAGGCTTCCAGTCTGCAACATCCCTCTACAGGAAAGAGCCCAGGTTCCATGCCTGCTGCCAAGGCCCTGCTTGACCAGGGGTATTCAAACTCCAGGCTAGATGCCCAATTCTGGACAATGGGGAAGGACTAAAGAGCAGGGCCTTAAATGATAATGACTGTGTCTGGTTCTTGCCCAAGTCTGCAGCCCCCAGCACTGGGTCCAGGACAGAGGCAGCCTCATGGGGTGCCCCAAATCAGGACCCTTTGCTTAAGGTAAGAGATGACTCAGCGATATTTAAGTCTCAGCCCATCCCAGACTATGCAGCTCATGGATGTCTGATCCCATAGATGGCACCAACTGGGTCGTGAACTCCATTGGAAGGTGAGGGTAGGGAAGGGAGCAGGAACCCACTCTTCTAAGTAGGCAGTTAGTCACCAGCTGAAATCTCACAAGCCTCCACAGCCTCTCCCTCAGCCCCAAAGCCAGTAAGTGGCCACCATGCCCAGCAACTTCTCCATTTACAGCATTCCAATGCATCACCACTACCTTCTCGCCACCATGAACACTTAGCTCAGACCTTCCCTCCCTATCAATGTGGTCCATTAGCTGTGTGTGACTGTCAAGGGTAGAGACTCTTCTGGTCATTTCTCAGTCCCCAGCTCTGGGCCTGGCCCACAGTAGATGCATGGTAAGTGCTTTGGGTTGCTGACTAACCATTAAGAACCATGTTCACCCTTCTGGGAATAATCTTGATGTGGATCAGGAGACCTGGGCTCGACCACTGGCATTAGGCTGGCCCTCTCCTCTCTGGTCCTCAGTTTCCCCATCTCTTTTTGTTTTTCTATTTTTGGACATGGAATCTTGCTCTGTCACTCAGGCTGTAGTGCAATGACGTGATCTCAGTTCACTGCAACCTCTAACTCCTGGGGTCAAGTGATTCTCCTACCTCAGCCTCCTGGGGAAGCTGGGATTACAGGTACCCACCACCATGACCAGCTGATTTTTCTATTTTTAGTAGAGATAGGGTTTCATCATGTTAGCCAGGCTGGTCTTGAACTCCTGACCTTAGGTGATCCACCTGCCTCGGCTCCCCAGAGTGCTGGGATTACAGGTGTGAGCCACCACACCCAGCCCAGTTTCCCCGTTTCTATAGCAGGGAGAGTACTTGATTTCTTTTTTTTTTTTTTTTTTTTTTTTTTTGAGACGGAGTCTCGCTCTGTCACCCAGGCTGGAGTGCAGTGGCCGGATCTCAGCTCACTGCAAGCTCCGCCTCCCGGGTTTACGCCATTCTCCTGCCTCAGCCTCCCGAGTAGCTGGGACTACAGGCGCCCGCCACCTCGCCCGGCTATTTTTTTGTATTTTTTAGTAGAGACGGGGTTTCACTGTGTTAGCCGGGATCGTCTCTCGATCTCCTGACCTCGTGATCCGCCCATCTCGGCCTCCCAAAGTGCTGGGATTACAGGATTGAGCCACCGCGCCTGGCCGAGAGTACCTGATCTCTAAAGGACCTTCTGGTTCCCCTGACATCCTCTGCAATCAGCAGCTCTGCTTTGTAACTCTGGAAAAATAGCTCCAATTTTGGTTGCGGTTGAAAGGGGTACACCCACAGATGGGTAGAAATGGCGCTTCACACTCAGGAGATGCACTGGCACAGCCTTAGGCTCCCACACTGAGGGTGGCAGGCACTAGAGGGAGGTTAGGGAACCTGGAGTGATCAAGCAGTGTTAAGGTTGGGAGTACTTGTGAGCAGCAGAAACAAGAGACTGGAGTCGGACACCCAGCTGTGCGTCTCCTCCAACCTACTGCTAGGTGACCCAAGCTAGTCCCTTCATCAAAGCCAACCCCCTTAGTTGAGCGAGCGATGAGGCATGTCTGTTGGATCAGGTTTTGAACCTGGAGGTGCTAATAAAACAGGAGGCCACTTTCCAGGCCCTGAGATGATGTCACCATCATGAGGCAGGCAGAGGGGGTGGGACCAGTATGGTAGCCCCTTCCTTACAGCCCACACCTCCAGTGCAAAAGGTGCTGCCACTTCTAAGCCCGACTCCCCCCAACCCTCTGCTATCAGATTGAAGCAAGAAACCCAGACTAGACAAGAGTCATTTCAGAGTAAAGCTTTATGTGAAATTCTGTAAATGTGTACAGAGTGGCCTGCGGCCACCTATGCTGGGGGCCTTGTCTGTGGAGATGCCCAGGCTCAGCACTTGCTGTAGATGGCCATGCTGCCCCGCTCCTGAAACTCTTCCTTGCTGACCCAGAGCTGTTGGAAGGCCTGCAGGGAGGCCAGGATGGAGCCGCCGGTCCACACGGAGGTCTTCCTCTCAGGAGCTGCAGCCACCGCAGGGCTGTCCCCGGGGCAGAGGAGGCTCAGCTCCCTCTGGAAGCGCTCGGGGAAACCATCCAACATGGTGCAGCCGCCACACAGCAGCACGTTGGCGGCCATCTCCTCCTTGAAGCCCGTGTCCTGGCAGCGGCCCAGGCAGGCAGCCGTGAGCTCTGGGAGGCCTGGCTGGGTGCTGCCCGCCAGGGAGGGCTGGAAGAGCATCTCAGAGCAGCGGAAGCGCTCCTGGCCAATGGTGATGAGCTTGCCGTCCGGGAGCTCGTAGTCCACGCGCAGCTCCTCCGGGACCAGGCCGAGCTCCTCCTCGGGCAGGAAGGCCGCATAGCAGCACTTCTTCTTGATGTGCTCTATGATGTGCAGGTGGTCGTCTGTGAATGCGTGGCCCGCCTCATTGAGCAGCTGCATCAGGTAGTTGGTGAGGTCACCCCCAGCATAGTCGGCGCGGCTGGTCAGGCCCGGCAGCACGTCGCCCTCAGAGATGGGCACCACGTGCGAGACGCCGTGCCCGCTCTCCACCACCAGCCCCGAGGTCTTGCCGTACGAGTAGATGGACAGCAACGACTGGGACGTCACGTGCATAGCGGGGATGCCGAAGGTCTCGAACATGAGCTCTGCGTACTTCTCCCGGTTGCTGCTGGGGCTGAGCGGAGGGTCGGAGACCAGCACAGCGTGCTCCTCGGGCAGGATCTTCATGGCCGTGCGGAAGATGTACTCCCAGATGTCCTGCACGCAGTCCCAGTCCACCACGATGCCGTGCTTCAGCGGGTTCACCAGCTTGAGAGGTGTCTCCGTGTTGAGCAGCTCATGGCCCACCAGGGTCCCCTTGCGGGTGTCGCCAGCGTCGGCCGCCTCGGGGCAGCGTTTTCCCACGGTGGAGGAGATGAAGTAGGTGGGCCTCGGCTCTCCCGCGTAGCCGCACTTGCAGTACTGAGAGCCCAGGTCGATGACAACCGCCTTGATCTTGCGCACCTTCCTGGGCTTCATCTTGAGCTGAGTGGCCGCACCTGTGTCCCGGAGGCCGGCGTCAGAGCCTGGCCGTGTTCCTGCCTCTCCAGGGTCACCCTGAGCCGTGCCCAGGGCCATGGGGCTGTTCCTTGTCGCCATCTGCCTCTCTTGCTCCCCTTCTCACATCCACAGCCTAGAGCTCCCTGGGGAGAAATGAGACACCCCCCCCCACCCCCAGTAGTGCCATGGCAACCACCTGGGATTGTGATGTCACTCAGGGCTGGTCCATTCAGGCAGCGGGGGGAGGGCTTGGCTTTGGCCGACTCTTGGTGTGTCACCCCCATCTCTGTAACTCAAGTTTGCTCCAGGACAGAGCACGTGTTGGGAGTTTTAGAAATCCAAGCACACTGGGGTCTCAGAGGTTTCTGCTCAACCCCCTTGCATTTCCATGCCTAACCTGCTCACTACTGGACACCTTTCCTCTTCTGCTTCTTGGTGGCCTAAGTATTTGAGTCCCTCCAGTAAGGCAGGCACTGCACTAGGTACTTCACTTGTGTTGTTCTGCAGGTAGGCAGAACTGAGGAAATGAGGCTCCGAATTCTAAGGACTTGCCCAAGAGCAAACAGCACTTGGGGTGTTTGTACCTTAACCCAAATTCATCAAACTCCAATGCACTAGGCCCCCTTGACCGCCCCAAGAGTTCTTTCCTCCCTTCATTCAACATTTACTGGAGTATGTAGTAGGTCCCGCCCAGTGCAGCCTGCCAGTGATAGATGATAAAAACCCAGGCCACCAGCAGTGCCCAGTCTAGACAAGAAAATGGAATGGGTGCCGGTGGGTTTGCAGGAAGAAGTCTACTTGGAGAACTCATTTGAGACCGGCAGTCAGAAGGTGCTCTAGAGAGGGGGTGATGCTTAAGTTGAATCCTGGAAGAGGTGTAGGTATTTGTCAAGTAGTTAAAAGGAGGGGAAGACATCCCAGGCAGAGAGTACAGCTTGAGCAAAGGCTCAGATGGAGGCACAGTGAAGAGCTTCCCGCAGTGAAAGTTTTTGGAAAAACAGATGAAGCTAGAGAAGTCACAGAGCCAAATAGAGAGGGCATCAAATACCAGGAGTAGGTTTAGACTAAATTGAGGAGAGCCAGGGAATCTATGAAGACTTTAAGCAGGGGAATGATCAGATTTGCTCTCTAGAAAAATGTTAGAAAGGGCCAGGCGCAGTGGCTCACGCCTGTAATTCTACCAGCACTTTGGGAGGCCAAGGCGGGTGGATCACGAGGTCAGGAGTTCAAGACCAGCCTGGCCAAGATGGTGAAACCCCATCTCTACTAAAAATACAAAAATTAGCCAGGCCTGGTGGCGGGTACCTGTAATCCCAGCTACTTGGGAGGCTGAGGCAGAGAATTGCTTGAACCCAGGAGGCAGAGGTTGCAGTGAGTTGAGATCGCACCACTGCACTCCAGCCTGGGACAAAGACTCCATCTCAAAAAAAAAAAAAAAAAAAAAAAAAAAAGAAAAAGAAAAATGTTAGAAAGATCGGCATTTGGCTGTTATGTAGAGAATGGATGGGAGGAGCAAGACTAGAAGCTGAGACCTGAAACAAGGCCACTGGAGAAATTCCGATAAGACTTGAAGGTGGCCTGACCTAGGGCTGTCAGAGTGTGGAAGCGAGGAAGAGCCTGGTTCTAGAGAAATTTAGAAAGTAGAATAGAATCCAATCTGTTGTTTCCCCAACCATCCCTCACTTTAATCCAAGCTCTTACTCTGGCATTTGAGGCCTTCCCTCATGGGCTCCTGTGATGTGGGATGTGAGGCAGAGGGAAAGATGAATCCCTTACCTGGACCCGAGCAAAGAAAGATGGCTTGTCATCTAGAAAGGACCAATTCACTAGAGTGCCAGAGGGACCTGCAACTTAAGCTGCCCCTTCCCACTCCAAAATCAAAAAGGCAGATTAGGGCTTTGGTGGTGAAGAGTCAAGATAAAAAGGGGAAGAGCAGCAACTGGGCCTGAGGAAGTTTTCTGGGAGAATTAAGACAAGCAGAGGTGCCTGAGGAATTGATTAGGCAACATGCATGGGAGAAAAAGAGTTAAGAAATACTGCCATGGAGCATGTAAGAATGCTAATGAGGAACGTGTGGGGATTTTTGTTTCCTGAATTTTTGTTGGTTTGTTTTTGAGACAGAGTTTCGCTCTTTCGCCCAGGCTGGGGCGCAGTGGTGCAATCTCGGCTCACTGCAAGCTCCGCCTCCCGGGTTCATGCCATTCTCCTGCCTCAGCCTCCCGAGTAGCTGGGATTACAGGCGCCTGCTACCATGCCTGGCTAATTTTTGTATTTTTAGTACAGACGGGGTTTCACCATGTTGGCCAGGCTGGTATTGAACTCTTGATCTCATGATCCACCCGCCTCGGCCTCCCAAAGTGCTGGGATTACAGGTGTGAGCCACCACACCCAGCCTGCTGAATTGTTTCTTGGAACATGGCAGCATTCAACTATATTATTTGGGTAACAACTTTCTAAGGGTTACAATTATGAACATCATGACCCAGAAATGCCCTGTGGTGGGATCATGAAATCACAGAAGCTCAGGATTGGACCCTTCAGTTCCCTCTAGAACATCCCATCCAGCAGTCTGACATGGACAGCTTACCCCGTTTTGGCCAGCCATGAGTGATAAATGTTTTGTCACACTGGATTGGCATGTGTACCTCTCTGAAGCCATTAATTGGTCTTGCGTCTACTCTTGAAGTTCTACAGAGCAAGCAAATTCTTCCACGACAACTCTTAGGCTATTTAAAGGCAGTGCTCATGGACTGCCAGAGACTACTTTTTATCCACTCCTTACGGAAAGACAGTACAGAGCAGAGGGAAGACCAAGGAACTGGAATCCAGAGACCTGGGTTCAAACACAGATTTATTATTTATAATCTGTATGACTTTGTATAAACTACTTGAAATGTCGTTTGAATGTGATTACCATATTGCTATGTCCCCTCACCAATTTGACCCATATCCATGGCCTCCAGGTTTCTGCCTTGAGCTGCTAAGTGGATGGTGGCACCACAAACACACACATGGAATGCAGGGGGAGGAAGGGAAGGCATGTGCGGGGAGAGAATGAGCTCCATCTAGGGCATGCTGACTTAGAGATGCCCAAAGGCCACTAGGCTGTGGGACACTGGGCTGGAGCACGTGGAAGGGGAAGCATTCGGATCCAGATTTGCCTGCTCAGTAGCTCATCTCCCCCTGAAGACAGCTCCTCTCCCTTCCACCTCAGGGAAATGGGCACAGTCTTGGGACCTGAGTGTCCACACTGGGGTCTGAGCTGTGAGAAAGCAGCTCAAAGTGCCTGTTTGGCAAGGATCTTCTTTGTTGAGAGCTCCTGACTCAGGGGTTCTCCAGCATATTCAAGAGTTGGAAAGGCTGTGGTGGACTCCAGTAATTTTTAAGAAAAACTACAGGTGATTCATGAGAAGAAACGCCACACCAGATTTTCATTTTTTCCCTCCTATAGCTGCTAAACTTCCAGGGGCCTGGCTCACCTCTCCTCCAAAGGTCAAGGGCGGGTAGTGTCTCAAAAATTGAAGCCAGGAGCCAGGATGCACCTCAGGGATAAGTGTGTTCTTTAATCTCATCTTTCCATGTTCTCTCCCTCCACTATAGAAGAGAACCCCAGGGTTGGCCAGGCGCGGTGGCTCACACCTGTAATCGCAGCACTTTGGGAGGCCGAGGCGGGCAGATCACAAGGTCAGGAGATCGAGACCATCCTGGCTAACACGGTGAAACCCCATCTCTACTAAAAATATAAAAAATTAGCCAGGCGTGGTGGCGGGCGCCTGTAGTCCCAGCTACTCGGGAGGCTGAGGCAGGAGAATGGCATGAACCCAGGAGGCGGAGCTTGCAGTGAGCCAAGACCCCATCACTGCACTCCAGTCTGGGCAACAGAGCGAGACTCTGTCTCAAAAAAAAAAAAAAAAAAAAAAAAGATGACCCCAGGGTTGCTTTCAAAAAGGAGTCATCCCATGGTTTTTTTGGTTTTTTTGGTCTTGAGCCAGAGGACTAAAAGTATGTGTGATCCCATTAGAAAATATGGCCCAACATATTTTGAGCAATATAGGGTGCCTCTCCCTAGAGGGACCTCACTAGGGACCCCAGGGAGCCCACACAGACCTTAGCTGATGACAGTTGTGGGGGGCTGTGTGCTAGGCAGTAGAGGTTTGGGGCACGGTGTCAACAGTCTCTGCATTCTTCCATCATTACCGCTAACCGTGTGCTGACCCACAGAGGGACAGAAGAGGCACAGAGGGTAACAGGAAGCTTAGGGGGAACAGGGTTTTGATTGGGGGTACCCAACATGTGAAACTGAGAGGTGAAGAAAAGGAGGGCAAGTGTTTCGTTGGCTTTTGCTCAGAGAATGTGAGGGGAATCCCTATGCTCAAGGACCTTACAGACTAGACAGAATAACTGCCTTACACTAAGGCATCACCTCTTCCACACACAAATGCAGAAAGGGCAATGACAGATGATAGATGGGCAAGCCTGGGCAGCCCAGGAAGAGCAAACGAGTCAGAGCATGTCAGGCTTGGAGTGTATTAGTGAAGAGGGAGGCACAGGACAGGTGAAAGGGTCCTCCAAAGGTGTCCACATCTTAATCCCTGGGACCTGTGAGTATATTAACTTTCATGCCAAAAGGGATTCCGTGGATGGGAGTAAATGAAGGAATCTGAGATGGGGAGAGTATTTTGGATGGCCTGGGTGGGGCCAATGTAATCACAAGGGTCCTTATATGGGGGATACAGGAGGGCCAAGGGCAGAGAAACAGATGTGACAATGATAGCTGTAGTCTGAGACTCTAAGTCTTTTAAGATGGAGGAAGGGACATGAGCCAAGGAACACAGGTGGCCTCTAGGAGCTGGAGAAGGCAAGAAGAAGTACTGTCTCCTACACCTCCAGAAGGAATACAGCCCTAAAAGAACCTTAATTGTAGTCCACTAAGAAGAATTACGAACTTCCGACCTCCAAAACAGTAAGATAATAACTGTGAGTTGCTTTAAGCCACTACATCCACGGTAATTTGTTACAGCAGAAACAGGAAGCTAATACAGGCTCTTCTAGGAGTCCAGGTTAGTGAAAAGGTACCAAGCAGCTATAGATTTCTCAAAATTCAAGTAGGGTTTGGGGAGAAAAAAAATGGAGGGTTTTAAATTACATATGCCTTTGGTTACCATATACAGAACTTTTGAAATAAAGTCAAACAATCTGAGTTGTCCATGCAAATCCCTGAACAGCAGAGGCAATTAAACTGTTTTTCAGGCAGCCAGGTATCAAAAGTACTTTCCTATTTTTCCTTCAAAATTCCATGCCATGATCTCACTCACTAACCAATGAAGCAAGAAACTGAGATTTTGTCCCTGGGATGACACCTTGCTGCCCCCATCAGATAGTCACAAACCTCATGAGACTGGACTTGGTCCTTTTCTTCTCTCATACTCCAAAGGAACTGAAAGAAGGACCCATAGCCTCTCTAAAGGAGAAAGCCCATTATTGTGGTGACTGCCTTTTATGAAGGGCTGGGATCAGGTTCAAGGTATGGCATCACATAAGGCTGGATTCTGCCCTGAGTGTGGCAGGCATCCACACCAATGTGTCCAGCTTCAGAAATGGCATGCAAGATGGTGGCCAAGCAGCCCAAAAGATGCATACTAGGTCCCATCAAGCTGTGTCCCAGCACATCCTGGGGAGGAAGCCACAGTCGGGAGAGCTTGGCTACTCCTGGTTGGATATCCTTGGATGAGCTACGCACCTACAAGCCTCAGTGTTGTCAGTGGGATTTTTTAGGGTCTAATTTCACTGCCTAGCCAATGACCCTGATGAAGGCACAGTAAGTGTACAAATGTATATCCAAAAATAATTCCTCTTAAGGTTGTTCTGTCACCCTTAGTGCCCTTGACATAGTCACCATAGCAGCAAAGGATCCCGCTAACATCTAAATCAGATGGTGTCGGTGCTCTGCACCAAATCCTCTAGTGCTTTCTGACCTTAGGCATGATCCTCGCATTGGCCTATGAGGCCTACCGTGAGCTGCTCGCCTTCCCCCACCCCATCTCATCTAATTTTCCTTACTCCTTCCATGCCAGCCACATTTGTCTTCCTGCTCCTCCTCTAACTCAAGAGGCCAGCAAACTTTTTAAGGGCCGGTCAATACTTACTTTCATTCAGCTTTTTGGGCAACACAGTCTTCAAAGCCGTGACTCAGCTCTACTGCTGTGCTGCAAAGGCAGCCATGGACGATACAAACATGAATGAGCACGGCTGTATTCCAATCCAACAAGCTGGGGACTGGACTGGACTGCAGCCTGCTGACCCCAATCTAACTCTTCACACATCTGCCTCCAGTCCCCCGCACCTGCTGTTCCCCTGACAAACACGTGGCTCTCTCCCTCACCTCCTGCAGGTCTTCATTCAGATGTCACCCTCTCAGGAAGCTCTGCCAAGGCCACCCTAGCACTGCCACCCTGCTTTTGCTCTTAATGCTCATTTTGGTTATTGTCTGTCACCCCCACCCCCCACCAACTAGAATAAGGGATTTTGTCTGGTTTTTTTTCACCACTGAATTCCCAGCTGCCTTGTATATAGCAGACACTCAAGAAATATTAATTAATTGAATAAATCAGTCTTGTTACAAAATTTAGGAAAAGGGGAGCCATTTCAAAAACAATATCCCAAATGTACCCTAACACAGGATAAGGGTTTGCAATATCTAGAAAGCCCAGGTCACCAGATTACATCATAATTAGTGATGTCATTGTTGGGAAAATTCTCAGGGTATCCTCTGATGTAGGCCTTTCAGGCCTTGAATCCAGTGGGATTGAGAACTTTCTAAGAGTGGTGCGGCTCTTGACAACATGTGGGCTCCACCGGCAGCAATCATGGGGGATGGGCCCGCCAAGAAGGTGGGTAACCAGGCCCCCCTGCAGACACAGGCCCTCCAGACTGCCTCTCTAAGGGATGGTCCGGCAAAGCGGGCCGTGTGGGTCCGCCACAGGAGTTCAGAGCCACAGGAACCTACTGAATCAAAGGCAGCCAAGGAGAGGCCCAAGCAGGAGGTGACCAAAGCAGTGGTCGTGGACCTGGGCACTGGCTACTGTAAATGTGGCTTTGCCGGCCTGCCAAGACCCACCCACAAGATCTCAACAATGGTGGGCAAGCCCTACATGGAGACCGCCAAGACTGGGGATAATCGCAAGGAGACATTCGTGGGACAGGAACTCAACAACACAAACGTTCATCTCAAGCTGGTTAACCCTCTGCGACATGGCATCATCGTGGACTGGGACACAGTGCAGGATATCTGGGAATATCTCTTCCGACAAGAGATGAAGATCGCGCCGGAGGAGCATGCGGTCTTGGTTTCAGACCCACCGCTGAGCCCACACACCAACAGAGAGAAATATGCTGAAATGCTGTTTGAAGCCTTCAACACTCCTGCGATGCACATCGCCTACCAGTCGCGCCTGTCCATGTACTCCTATGGAAGGACCTCCGGCCTGGTGGTGGAGGTTGGCCATGGCGTGTCCTACGTGGTCCCCATCTACGAGGGTTATCCTTTGCCCAGCATCACCGGAAGGCTGGACTACGCAGGCTCTGACCTGACAGCCTACCTGCTAGGCCTGCTGAACAGTGCGGGAAACGAATTCACCCAGGACCAGATGGGCATCGTGGAGGACATCAAGAAGAAATGCTGCTTTGTGGCCCTGGATCCCACTGAGGAGAAGAAAGTCCCTCTCAGTGAGCATACGATCCGCTACGTGCTGCCGGATGGGAAGGAGATTCAGCTGTGCCAGGAACGGTTCCTCTGCTCAGAGATGTTCTTCAAGCCGTCTCTCATCAAGTCCATGCAGCTGGGCCTCCACACCCAGACCGTGTCCTGCCTTAACAAGTGTGACATCGCCCTCAAACGGGACCTCATGGGGAACATCCTGCTCTGCGGGGGCAGCACGATGCTCAGTGGCTTCCCCAACCGTCTGCAGAAGGAGCTAAGCAGCATGTGTCCCAATGACACCCCGCAGGTAAACGTGCTGCCTGAGAGAGACAGTGCCGTGTGGACCGGTGGCTCCATCCTGGCCTCACTTCAGGGTTTCCAACCACTGTGGGTCCACCGCTTTGAGTACGAGGAACACGGGCCTTTCTTCCTCTACAGAAGGTGCTTCTGAACGGCGATGAGGACGGCCGCCGCACTGGCAGTGCGTACCCTCGGCGGGGTGAGCGCACTCCTACACACAGGGGTGGAGCCGGTGCTTATTCCTGTAGCATTAAACACCCCTCATATGCCCCTCCTCAGTGTGTTTCTCTACTTCCTGACTTCATGAGAACAATTTCACACACGCGGCATCTGCCTTAAAATATACATTTCCTAAAACAAAAGCAGGAGTAGGGGGAGGATGAACGAAAAAGGACATGCATTGTATGTGGATTGCTTAAACATTCACTTGCTCTAAAATTATGCTGTCCCTTATTTTGTGCATTCCCCACTTTAGGAACTACTTTATGGTTAAACTCTGCGTGGAGGGGGGAGTGCAATGAAGATTAGACGGTAAATGCTGTTGGGGCATATAAGCAGTTCCCTTTCCATCAATGCCAGTAGGAAGCATGCTGTAACAGTGCAACCTCCCACAAAGCATCAGTGTCCATTTCACACTTCATCAGCAACCCGGACGGACTGGAAAGAGCTGGCAAAGCTGTCTGAGCCCTGCTTTAACAGGAGTTTCTTTTAGTTTCAACAGTCATTTATTGAGACATATCTCAATACCAGTTCTTACTAAGCCATCACGGCGACTGGCTGCTGAAGCCTAGCATATTACAAGCAAGGCATATGTATGTGCCTTAAAGGGCAACTCTTCAGAGAACAAGTGCCATACAGATTTCCCTTTTTAAAAACCGAAGTAAGATTGATCTTGGGCTATCAGCAGAGAGGTTAGGGATTGAAGCTACAGTCATTCTCTAGACACTTCAAGTAGTAGCTGACCATCTCCCAGCAGACTGGATTCTCCATCAGCCTAAAACACACACAGTTGGAGTCTGGGGTGTGCTCAGGAGAGAGGCTGCAGGTTCTGGGGCTGATGGTATGGGTCTGTGGGAGGCTGCCCTATGTGGGTCATTCTAACCCAACTGGGAGCCCAAAGGAATACAGAGACCCTCAGTAGCCAGGGAAGCCCTTCCAGGGCCCAGAGAACTCTATGGTGTTCCTGCAGGGGGAGTTTGTAATATGAGCACTTTAAATTGGAGATTCTTTAGAAGAGCCCCCAGTACATTCTCTGTCCTGTCTTTAAAGTTCAGAATCTGAACACTAGTGGGTGCATAAAACAGTGGACGGAACATGGGCTCTGGACTCTGTGGTTTGAAACACTATTTTGCTACCACCTAGGTGTGTGACTTGAGTTTGTCTGCCTGCAAAACTGAGTATGAATGCCTACCTCACACAGCTGATTTGGAAAACAGTGAAAAACATCTGAATACCAATACTAGACTCCTGGAGGTGCTCACAACAGCCAGCTAGTATCTTTAAGTTTCTACCTCTTATGCAGAAAGCCAAAAGTCTCTTACTATAGTCCTTAGTCACACAGGCACTCAAAGGCACGCATTCTGCATTTAGAGGAGAGCTGGCACCTCCACCATCTCCAGGGAGAGGCCCTCCAGAGCCGCCCTCACAGGTTCCAGGTTTGCCTACACAGCCTTGAAAGGCCTAAAGTACCTGACCCTGGATCCAGGCCTGGTGAGTAAGAGTATCTGGCTGGTACCGGCAGAGAGAGAACCACAGAGGGGCATGTGAGGTTCCCATGGTTCAGCACGGATGACTAAGCCTTATGCTGGACTGTCAAGGAATCAGGAGTTGGGGACACTGACCTGAGAAAGAGGGACATCTTTACCTCAGTTTCTGCCCAAACCGCTCTACTGTCAACCCATGATCATTCACTGATGTGCAAGCTGAAGTCTGGTTAGTTCTTAACCTTTGGACCTCTTTGGCAGGGTGGTAAACCCATAAACCTCTTCTTAGAATAATGTTTTTAAATGCGTAAAATACAGTGTATGATTACAGAGGAAACCTATCTTATAGAGATATGCTCTATCTACCGATCCCTTCGGGATGTATGAACCCCACGTCACAGATCCCTAAAAAGGCAAGGGTCTTAATGAAGAGGAGAGTTGGGAGGTGGTTCTGGAGGATGGGCGTCTCCAGGCCTTCTTAGGTCTCAATGTTCATTTCTAAATGAAAAAATACCAATTGAAGGCTGAGCAATTGTGCAGTCTTTTTCAAAGCACTTTATGAATGTTCTCACTTGATGCTCACAAGTATGCCCTCACAGAAAAAGAGAATTTCCTCATAAAAAGCGATAGTGTTACTAAGTATTTGGAACTTACCTTAGCACAGTAGTTCTCAAGTGGGGGCAACTTTGGCCTGTAGTGGACATTTAACAACGTCTAAAGATATTTGTGGTTGTCATAACAGGGGTGGGAGTGTGTACTACTGGCATCTAGGGGTTAGAGACCAGGCAAGTCGTTAAAGATCTTACAATGTGCAGGGAAGCACCTCCCAACACCCAAAGAAAGAATGACATGAACCAAAACGACAACAGTGCTATTGAGAAACTCTGCTTAGCTTGATGGGCACACACAAGACTGAAGAAAAGCAAGGCTCAGTGAGATTAAGTGACTTTGTCCAAGACTGCTAAGAGGGTTGGACACATGGCCCAAAGCCTTGTTCTTTCCTTTATACCAACCCAACAACTGTTGTTCTTAAAGGTCTGGGGACTTTAGAGCCAGTAGGAATAGTGGTGGAGCAGCCCAGTGGTAAGGGCCCAGGGAGCACAGAGAACACAGAAACACGAGAATCCAAAGCAGGCCTTCAGCACTGCCAAATGTTACCGAATTAGCCTTGCCTGATCTCCAGCCTCGTGAATATGTACAGCTACCTAGCTCCTAAGATGTATTTGCAGCCAGTTACTAATAAATATGACAAACAAGAACGAACAGCCAAAGACTCCCCAGGGCTTGTCCAGGCGGTGCTTCTAGAGAATATGGGAGTACAATAACCAGCACAAGAAGAACAAATCTAATTTTGCTTCTCAAATTTGCAGTCACCTTAGGTTACTAAGCATCGTCAGTTTTACTTATTTTTAAAAACACCCTCTTCAGTTATTGCTATGACAAATCTCTCAAATGTGTATGTATATATACATGCATATATAATTAAATTTAAAATATGCAGCAGGGCTAAGAAATTGCACCAAGCTACATCCATAAAGGCATATAAAAATTGCTCCTAAGTTTTTTTTTTTTGTTTTTTGTTTTTTTTTTTTTGAGACAGAGTCTCATTCTTGTCCTCTCCAGGCTGGAGTACAGTAGCATGATCTTGGCTCACTGCAACCTCTACCTTCCCAGGTTCAAGTGATTCTCCTGCCTCAGCCTCCCAAGTAGCTGGGATCACAGGTGCCCGCCACCACGCCTGGCTAATTTTTTTTGTATTTTCAGTACAGACAGGATTTCACCATGTTGGCTAGGCTGGTCTCAAACTCCTGACCTTGTAATCCACCCACCTCAGCCTCCCAAAGTGCTGGGATTACAGGTGTGATCCACTGCAGTCGGCCTCAGTTTTTTAAAAAGCATAAATTTAAAATGCACTTTGAACTGAAGAAGACAGTCTTCTGCAAGTTCCCTCTTGAAGTTTAGAGCATCTGAGCAAAGCTATCTGACTCGATGGAACCAAGAAAAGTGAAGGTTTTACCTTACTGCAGCATGAACTTGCTTTGGGACAGAATCCAAATTTATGTACTCTTTTCTAAAACTTGACAGAAT